TGTTAAAAATATTCAGTGCTTGAACTTATTTTGCCCAAAATTAGAAGTTTTAAAAATCTGTTTCTGCACCATTACAGTGCAATTTATCTTATATTTTAAATCTATCCATCATATAAAAAAGTTTTTAGTGTATGCCATATTTATTTATTTTTTTAATATTAGGAGAGTAAGAGGTGGCAGGAGCTCTCCTGTTAGTTCTATAATTGGTACTAATTAGACAGTTGCTCATTTAATTGCATATTCATTATTAGATCCTGTAATCTAATACTTTCCTAATACAAAATACAAAAGATCATACACTAAAAATTTGTACGATAAATCTTATTTATTCATCTGGAGCTGGTAGTTTGATTTTAACTAGGTGACAATAGTTATTTATCGATTTAGTCATTTACCCTTGAATACAATGTAATAATTATCATATTATACATAATATTATTTATATTATATTGTTATATAATTATAATTATTGTTGTGAAATAAAAAAGAAAGCACAATATAATGAACATATAAGTGGCTAAATTTATTGTTGGGCTTATATGAAGCTGGACTAGTTGAATACATATTTAGATTGTATAGTAGAATATAAACATACAAATTGGCCTCAAGAATAATTGCAATTATGTGATGATATAAATTTAAAATAATATAGATTTTTAAAGAAACTAAAAATTTGCCCCAACCATTGTGTTGTTCAGTTTATTTTATTTTGATAAAAAATAATACAATCTGAACTACAGAATACATGTAAATTGAAGTTATACAAGTTGAGCAACGAGTAGTACAATTAAATGAACAGTTGTATAATTTGTAAAATGAGAGTTGGTCGGCTGTTGGATGAACTGGGGGTATCGTTCTAGTACTAAATAATAAAATCATTTCATTCAGAGGGTTTTAAAAACATACCAAAAGAAATCCGGATAAAGAGTTTTATTAAGTAATTTTTTTCAGAATTAATCTTTTTATATTGATAAATTAAAAAAAAAATAATGTTAAATAAAACATTTCTTATAAAACTGAAATATCTGTTGATTGAATGCAATAAATTAATTTAACATAATCTATATAAATAAAATAAAGATTTTGTCTGTACATTGAATAGAATCAACCCGTTTTATGATATATTTCCGTTTTATACATTGCAGACACCAAATCCACTTTTAAAAAAATGTTTGTCTGTCTGTATGTCCGGATTGAAACGAAATTTTGTCAGGGGTAAGCTCAGCAATGGCTTATTGTAATTTTTGAAAATTTGCCTTATATTATGGTTTGCTTGACTTAAAACATAGGCTTTAAATGAAAACAAATTTTGAGTAGAACCGACGTTATGAATTATTGAGTAATTTGTCTAGAGAGAGATCCCGGTTAGGCAGTTACTTACTTCGATTTCCATCCCAACCTATTCTATCGCGAGCCACATTTAAAAGTTGTACTACTCAACTGATGGAAAAAATTATCACAACTCAACGGGAAAAATCCGAAATACCGAACATCTGTAACGCGTTGTCGCATAAAACGGGTAAAACACACTCATTTTTCAACTTTGTCCGATCTTTCCGTTCAAGGTGTCATTCAATTCAACTTTCTGATCGTAACAAATGTTGTCATATACATTTTTAGGAATCAAGAAAAAATCCGCCCGTCACAGTATTCAGTTCAAGTTTTAATTTTACAAGGATGTAGGTTGCTCAATATCCAATGTTATTTTGCTAGCGATAAACTCAGCAGAGTTTAAAGAAGTGGAGAGACTAAAACTATTTTTGATTATTTAATAGACCCCACAATCACCTCGCTTCTTCAAAAAGGAAAATTAAACACTTAACAAATTTTAATGGATCGGTGGTTGTCGGTTTACTTGAGTGGTACCTAAACAAATAGCCGAATAACAAAGATTTTGCGAAACCTTGACTTCCATTAGCCTCGTCAAAAAGAATTTCAAAACAACCCCTCTCCCCCCTCCCGACCCAATTTTATGGAATTGAATTTGGACCCTCCTCTCCTCCATAGTACAAAATCCATCTCAAAAAAAGATTCTCAAATTTTAACTACACACCAATAAACAATGGGAACATCAGCTAGTTTATTTAATATTTAAAAATATTCTAGCACTTGAATTTAAAGAAATTATACTAATTTTTTAAGACTTTAAGGTCTTCAAAAAAAAAAAGAAAAAAAATTGTTCTCGTTACTCCTACTAGGAGTAACGAGAACAATTTTTGTAGGGGGATGCTTTATCATTGTCAAGTCTAGCAGCTCTAGTTCGAATCTAGACTGGGCGGGTAAAAATTTATTTCGTGTTGGACTCAGAATGAATTTCGACCTTTCCACAATGGTTAGAATAGATTCATTAGGTCAAGAAGAATACCCCGTATGTCAGAAATGGTGAGGTTAAGGGGAGAAAAAGGTAAGAAAAGAAAAAGTTTGGATTATTAAGATAGTTTCTTAAAAAATAATATTATCGAATTTGTTATTTGTTTTAAGAAATTACTGCTTTGAATTTTCTAAGGTTAGTGTCAATCTAAAAAATACTGAAAGATATATTATTGCATTATAGCTCTATATATAAATTTAATTATACCACCCACTAGTTAAAATATCAAATACTTTGTTACGGTATGACTTCCTAGTAGAGAAAAGGAGGCTTCCAATTTAAGTTCCTTTCACTATCGTTTGCAATATCAGTAGAACTATACTGAATTAAATGTTAATCCATGCTATCGACAAATTTATTTTATTCGTGGTCATTTGTCTTATAACAAACGAGTCTATGAGCAACAACTCCTTACAGCCTTGGACTCCTTTCCTACAACCAAGTTGCTGCTTTGGAATCAAATTATTGGATCGCAGGTGACATTTAATTTAACTTGATAGAATAGATGTTAAAATCTTATACACTCCGTTGCGGCAAGTAATTGGCCTAAAACCTTGTATACAATAACAAGAACAGTAACACCCTGATAGAACGTGTTAAGAATGTCTGTCTGTCCTCTTCCGATAGATTCATCAAGCTCCGATAGAACTGCTTTTCACTGCTGGTGAATCTTTTGTTCTACTGTTTACGGAGCATCGACGTTTCACAGCGCGGTATTCTGTTTGCATAAACTGCAAGTTTTTGCTTTAGTATATCAGCATATAAAGCAAGCTTTTCGGTGAGCTCAGATTCTAACACCATTCCTATTTGTAGTACAACTATTTCATCAATCCTTTTTTATAGTTTTGTACTTGCTCCAGCCGGATTTATAATATAGTTTGTAATTACCTCAATACTTGACCTTAGTGAAGCTATTATATTCTCTAATCTTCTCTGCCAGCGTGGGAAGTTCATATTGCCATTATCTTTCTGTAGTTTATCTTGTCCTAAATCTAGTTCGGTAATAACAGCTCTAGCTGCAACATAAGCCCAATGAAAAGCAACTTCAATGTTCATTTTGGGGAAGTTAAGTTCCCTTAAAGCTTCATTGACGTTTTTCACATCTATTTCACGACCTAAAGTTGAAAGAAATCCTTGATATGGTTTGGTTGACGTGTGGTATTCCTTCAAAAATCATATTCTAGGATAACAATGACAATATGTCAGTTTTTGTACCTCTTTGTCTTCTTCTTCTGAAGAAACTACCTCTATCGCCAACGACCTTTCTATGCATTTTATAGCGTCAGTTGGTAGATCTTTATTCTCGCCAGCTATCATCCTTATTCGTTCAGATAAAATTTCTTTTATATTATCCATTTCCACTGCGGTGAGGAATTTTCTCGATCGGATTACCCGATGACTGAGTTTTTTTGTACTCATAGTTATCTGTGGGAGATATGACTCTTGCGAATACCGTTGAATCCTGCTGAGGTATCCTGTCTTGTCTGTTTCTAATAGTGTTGTCAAAAGATATGCCTGGATGACTGCCTTGTTCATTTATGGCATCCATTTAGCTCCATTAATAATGCACTAAAAACTCTTTTTGTAGTAGCCCAATTTTATCATAAAATAATTTCTCTTCAAAGTAAAGCGAATTTTTTTTATTATTAAGGAAGCTATTGCTTAGAGCAGACTAACTATTTCATTTGATATATGAATGTTGTGAATTGTACTCATGTTGACAACTGACAGGTTTCTTAAAGTTCGCATAACAGGTGGATTGAATTCACCGTATGTCTGAAGGAAGAAATATATTCAACCAATCAGTCATTAATGTATTTTTTTTTTTATTATTTGAAAATTAATACATTCTGCCGCATTGGAGGGCATTAATATTAAGGCTACATTAAACATTCACACAATATATACATACAAATGATAACTAAAATAAAAATAAAAGAAATAGAGTTATAGAAAGTAAAATAAGAAAATTAATATACATAGGTAAAAAAAAAAAAATTAGAGATAAACTTAATGAAATTGTAATATATAAAACACATTCACACCTATAGTAATATAGTAATCAGAATTAATAACTTCCCAATTTTCCATCTTTTGGCGATTTGTAACTTGCAAAAACTGGATTAATATGGAAAATATGACGGCTAACTCGAAATTTGCAGTTTGAGTTTCACCATCATTAAAATAAAAATAAAAAATTCAACTAAATACTGTTATCGAATGCTTTTCACAATCTATCGAATGATTAGTTTATGCACTGTTAAATTTACAATTATTATCCGAACTGATGGTTTTTAAAGATTTGCATGGCCTTCAAAATTAAAAAAAAACGAACCTTCGCCTAATATAATTTATAAATGTTAATTTTAAAAAAATTGAGATTAGTTCACAATGAGATGGATCGGCTATATAATAAGTTTTCCGTGTCGTTTCGGCTGCGGACATCACTTTTTTGAGAAAACAGATTAAAAAAATTTACTCAGGAAATTTGTTCAGTTTCAATTAGAATAATACGAGTTCAAGTAATTTCATTAAACGACCTTTCGACATTTATGGTCTCGAAGATAAGTTTAATTATAAAAAAAAAATATTTTTATTCATTATTATAATTATCAAAGCCGTGTGTTGTATTTAATTTTTAATCATATGTTCAACTAAATCTAAATTTCATTATTTGAAAAATCTATGTGTTCATCGTTAAAATTTTTATCAAAATTGATTTCTTTAAATTTTTCAAAATGTCTGACAGAAAATCAACAAGTGTTAAGCGCAAGAATGTTACCAGATCGTTAAGATGTGGACTCACATTTCCAGTTGGCAGAATCCATAGGCACCTCAAGCACGGGTGGTACGCCAAGAGGATCAGAAATAAGGCTGCCATCTTTCTAACTGCTGTCCTGGAGTACTTGGTCACAGAGGTGGTCACCATGGGAGGCAATATGGCAAGAGCCAGCCAGAACAAGAGGGTGATGCCAAAGCACCTGCTCTTGGGCTTGATGAACGACGAAGAGCTGAAGAAACTCGTGGCAGAACTTTATAATCCGAAAATGTCTACGAAGCCAGAAATAAAAATCAAGACGGAAAAGTGATCTTCCGGATCGTGGTTGGTGAGCACTATAAAAAATGAAAATGTTATTAATAAAATAAATTTGGATTTTTTAAATAAATTTGGTGATTATTTCTCACTAATATTATAGTGTATCGTTGTATTTTCTACTAGTTTCAACTCCAAATTTACTCTAGTAAAAAGTTTAAAATTTAGAATTTATTAATGGTGAATTAATGATCTAAAAATCAAGGCAATATGCTACCAATTACTGACTGTCCTACCCAATTATATAACTATTATCCATTACATATACATTAAAAGAGGACTTTAGTCTTAACCACTTTTTATGTATAAATGCAACAGCCAAAATGTTCGCCGTTTAGAACATTTCTAAACTAAAACTACAATTTTAAATTTAGATTGGCCCACGAGTTTCTGAAAATTTGCTTACTGTTTTAGTTTTAATTCCTCCTACCTTCACTATAGATTGTCAATAATGGGCTTTAAAATATAATTAAATATCAGACTCTGATTATGTTTATATGTGTCAAGATCATTAATTAACCAGATTGACCAATTTTGTATTTTTATTGAATTGGATCTTGTGCATAGAAGCTTTATTTAAAAAAAAAAAAATCGATTGGATACAGCTCCACAACTACTGTAATAATTTTGATGAAATTCCAAAACTATTGATTTTATGGAAATTTCTACAAAAAAAATACATGACTCGTTTAAAAAAAACACAAATCTAAAATTTCCTACTTTTCTGATGGAAATGGGGCATTTTATATAAACATTTTTGTAGATGTCTACTATCATCCTTTTCAATATCTCCTTCCTTAAAGGTCACTCTGTATAATAAAATTCGTGGTACGATGGGTCTAACGCCTACTAACGTTCATCTGATTTTTATAAAATTTTCAAGGAGTGTGCCAATTTATTCCAAGATGACCATCAATTTTATAAAATTCAATATTAGTTCATGTAAACACGAATGAATTTGCCAAACAAGCTTATACTCCAAAACCGGCTGCTTCAATTTAAAATCCAATGTAAAAGATCCAACAAAATTAGATGAGACTTGGAGATTAGTACAATAATGGTGCCGTATTAAATTGATCAAATTCCTTCTACAGCTTTTGCAAATGTATGAGAAATTTTTTCTTGATTTAACTATATTTAAAAACGGCATGCTTATTTTACCTTAATTTTAAAAAAATAGGGATTAATGAAAAAGTGGTCTAGAATCATTTTTATAATAATGATACAATACTTATTATTCTTATGTTTAACTATAAATTAGTCAAAATTCCATCCATGAGGAAATATTTTTATTACAATACTCTATTCAGTTTTCGAATTGAATTATAATATTGGTAAAGTTTCTACTTATAAGGCTCATATAACGGGTATATTTGTATCCATATGTTTTATTTTAATTTACAATTTTCCATTACTTGCAGAAAAATAAGAGATAAAAATGCACTTTAGATAGTTTATGTTAAATAGTAGTAAAACTAACGACGTTTAAGAGGAAAACTAATGTTCGAAAATAACTAAAAGAGCAATTTTTTTTTCCTTGTGTGCTCAATAAAAATTATATGTAATCTACACAAATCTATTTGGCATAAATTATTTCTAAACTTTGGTGTGATTTCAAAAAAAATACATTACCCTTGTAGATAAGCCGCGTTCGACAAAGGTTCTGGTTATGGTTCTGAGGCGAAAAAAAAACTCAAAATGAAAGTATTACAATCGCTTCTTTTGTTCTATGTTATCTATTTTTTTTTTAATATAGAACGTTCTCTATAACTATTTTCTCCAGTTTCCCTGATTTAAAACTTAAAAATACAAACTAAACAGCGCTTTTCAGTTATTTCACAGTGAATCACCAGTATTTATAGAATAAATAAGTATTAATAGTATGGTATTATTACAAGAAACATCAAATTAAGGGTGTACAGTGGTATTGTAAAGCCAGTTCTAACATATGGCTGTGATACCTGGAGACTAACCAGCGCCCTAGAAAAAAGTATGGAAGATTTGAGTGGAAAATCCTCAGCACGAAAACCGGAGCGATCTGAGATCAGAGTAATAACACATGGAGTAGAAAGACCAATAAAGAACTGCTTACAGAAACCGGTCTATCAATATCCCATGATATGAAGACACGGAGGCAAATATGGGCGGGGCAGGTAGCACGTAGCAATCCATCTGGAAGCCTCTACATAACAATGAATGCCTCAATAAAAGGCAAAAGACCACGTGGAAGGCCAAAAAAGCAGATTGATAGATAGAATCAAATATGCAATAGAGCTGCGTGAAAGAGAAATGGAAAGAAATAGCCCAAGACAGGTATAGATGGAGCAGGCTTGTTGCATGGTCTGTAATGGACAACGGAAAAAAAAAAGTATAGTATTATTAATATTCGTATTCAGTATTTATAGAATAAATAAGTATTTTTAGAATAAATATTTTTAGGTATTTGTAAAAGAGAAATTTTTTCTTTTTTCTTTGACGTGTCGTAATTATGGACTAATAAGTGTAGACAAAATTTAGTCTGGTATATTCTTACATTTGAAGGTACATGTTTAAGCAAAAAATATTTTGACCAAATTATGAAAATGTCACTAGTTTAAGAGTTTATTACTAAACAATAAACAAACTATTTTTTAAAAATTACACTCTAGCAATTTTGAACATTTTTATTTCACCATAATATGTCCTTTTGAAATAGGTAATAAATCATGCAACATCTGTACAATACAATGTTTACAATGCGAACTACGATATATGAATCGGAAACAATCTATCGGCACCTAACGAGAATATTTTTATATTTATTTAAAATGAAATAATTATTATAATATATTTTAACATGAAATTATAAATCCTTTTGTAAACAGAAATTGTATAACAAAACAGTTTACCTCAAAGAAAAAGTTGAGTGGTTATTATCAATAGATCGCTTAAACTTTCTAGCACCAATAAACATTGGTGACTTTCCACTCTGGTTGGAATCTTGTCGAATTGAATTAAATTTCAAAATCCTCAAAAACATAAACGGGTAAAATTTGATCAGCCCATTGCGATTTCCGAATAAGTTGGAGCCGATTTCCAAGGTCACCAGCTCGAATTTTATCCTGGGTTGATTGAAATTTAATTTGTTGAGAATACACTGAATGAATCTTGGCCTTTCCTAGATTTTAATCAAACCCCTTTGGTTAGATTAATTTTTTCTATACAAAAATGTCTTCTCTAGTATGCCATAAATGACAAGGTTGGGGCTAATTAAAAATAAAATTTCTACTCGGATATTTTTATATTGGATATACCTTAATAAATAATCTTTACTACACGATAGATCTATCTTGTTTTATGTTTCATTTTGTTATTAGGATTCATATAAAGATTAATGAGGCAAAAAAGTTGTGCCCGCTAATTGATAAAGACCACTAAGGAGTAAATAAACAGCAAGGGATTGAGTTGCGCCGGTAGCCAACGAGCTACAGAGTGGCTTCCTCATTGAGGCCAGCCGCGTTTTAATCAAAGCTTCCTGCCATCGCCCATCGTCACCATAGACCATCGTTAGGCTCCGCGTCCCAGATGTCTTCCTTCAGCTCAGGAGTATCGCAATACCTCCAACCAGTGGTGTATCTATCAATGGTTCAGGGTATCTCAATATCGATCCAAAACCTATTTGGATTCCTTCAAATATGTCAAGATATAGTAGCCGTAAGATGTAATTTATAGTATAGTAAGTAGGATAGAAATGTATCAATTAGAGCTGAATTAAAACTAAATTTCAAATTCGTTTTAACAATCTTAAAAAAGAATATCTGGTGTATTCACTCTTCAATACTTTCCTACTAATTTTAGTCACATTTAAACAACTTTATTTAAGTAATTATATAAAAAAATTTATTAGATTCATTTTCTTGAACAACCGATCAGAAAAATGATTAAAATACGATTTCATTGATATCTAAAGCAATATTGACGGGCTTCTGAACATCGATAGGGAAAAACACAGACAAAATAGGTATCTTTAAAATCAGCGTATAACATTCAATACACTACTATTGCTTGGTATAAACTGGTCCGATTTGGAGGATTTGTTTTTAGCTTTTTGAAAATTTAATAACCTTTTTAATTTAATAACATAAAGATTCGTTGAAAACTGCATACTGGAAATTTGACCCGATTACAATACAATCCTTACATTGTAGCAATAGGAAAGTAAAAAAAGCTGCAAATTATTACTCAATTGTTTATTATTACAAAATGTTATAGATCATATGTAATGCTACTTTCCTAGTAACAGAGAGAAAAATAAATAAAAGGTGATTCCTAATAAAGACCTAAATATGTCTTTTATTATTAATCATTTATAATAATCTTAATAAATAATAATTATTAATCATATAATACCTTAATAATTTGCTAAGAAATATAGACAAAAATCTCAATTAATGCAACTGATGTAAATCATTCTAAAAATCATCAAACAAAAGATAACAGCTTTGCAGCTGAATCTATGGATAATATTTAGAACAATATATTTTTGCACCAAATCATCCGATTTCGATGAAACTTTTTTGTTTCAGGAGGAAATTTACTAAAATCTGAGGAAATAGCTTTAAAACTCTATATTATAAAAATCGCATGTATACATTAGAGTTATTCGAAAATATAATATTACCATCCCTCGTAACTTTTTTTCCTATCTTCTTTTCGGTGATTTATGTTATCTAGGCTAATAACTTTAAACTAGTTTCATCGAAATCGACATATTCATTTAGGTGCTACAGTCTATACGGTACAGGCTTTTGATCGTCATATTGATAGAAAGGTATTTTTGGTGAAATATGTTATATACATAAATTTAAAGGTTTTCAAAGAGAAGACTTCGGCCAAGTTTAATTCAAATCGGTACATCAGTTAAGGTGCTATAGCCTATAGCGACATAGGTTTTCGGCCGCCATCTTGATAAGAAAGGTCGGATGGTAATGCCAAGTTTTTTGAGGATCATCCTCGAGTGCCCATTGACATTGTTACAGAATTTCAAAACAATCGGTCCAGTAATCTCGCAGAAAA